TAAAATAAACACGATCTTTCTTAATTAGTTAAACGAATCCAATATCGCACAATATAAAAAAAAAAAAAAAAAAAAAAAGAAAATAACGAAAATTCAAACGAAGAGCAACGATAAAGCAACCAATCCTCCCAAATATCTCAAATATATCGAATATCTTCCAATTCCAGCCGACGACCGTCCACCGATATTAAATTCCCGTACAACTTTACCAAACAAATTAATCAAAAATCCACTCGGTCGAAGCTAAAAAGAGGCTCGTCCAAAGGGATGTTCTCATTGTCGATTCAATTCCTCGCCCGCGTCCAACCATTTCGATCCAGCCTGACCGAAAACTTTTCTACCGGATGTTACACCCGGAAACCCATCCCGATTTGGAAGTATGCCGTTTCGTGTTCGGCCGTGCAACCGATCAGTTCGATCGCTTCGCTGGAAGAGAAGCAACAGAGATTTATCCGCGCCGTATTCGTACGTCACCGACACTCCTCGAAATCCTCGAAAAGGTAAGGTGGATCGATCGAATCTGGGATTCGTTAGAAAGCGAGAGAGATCGTTCTCGTCGCAGGGCGAAGGGCGGAGGTCGGCCGGAGGCAACTAGGCAGACAGAGATGGCGGCGAGGTCGGTGGATAGGGCGGATGAAGGAGAGGTAACACGGTCGAGAAGTGGGATGGGCCTCTGGGATCGGAGCCAACTATTGCCATTATGTGCGGGCCGAGCCTGCATTATGTCCGCTCGCTATGCTGCATACCAGATATCCTTGAAACGAGCCTTGTACCCCACACTTGCTGACGCCTCCAGCAAGCCTCACGGTTCGCCGTATTTGCGCGGAATTGCAAACTTACGACGCGCGGTGGAACGCGGCAGGAATTCGAACCTCTTCTTCTCCTTCTTCTTCTTCTTCTTCTTCTTCTTCTTCTTCTTCTTCTTCTCTTTCCTCTGGATCGTAACAACGCTTTTCTCTTCTGTCTATCTGCGGGGAAAGTGAGTCATCGTTGGTGAGTCGAAATTGGGTCTCGATCGAAATCGAATGTGATCGAAACGATCCTCGGCTTTTCTATCGAGCCGAATATTGAACGCGTTGCGGCGTAATATATCGTCGATGCTTGTCAGAATTCGAATTGGCCCCTGGTTTCGAATTCGTTGGCAACGGTGTGGTGGTTCTCGAGAAACGCTGGAGGGTAACCTTGGCCCCTTGTGGCCAGGAAAGGGAGAAGGACAGAAACGTGATGGAACGGGAGTCGTTGAAAATTTCGGCCGGAGGAATGTAATAATGGGGAACACGGAGAGGAATAATCTTAGTTGATATACGCACACGATGGAAGGAGGCAGCCAGGTATCCCGCAGGGAAACGAGAAATGGATCCCGGGCTTGCGTGATTTTGATGGATGCGGGGGAACGGCGGAGTTGGCGGTCCATGTACGGTACATCATTTGTAAAGATTAAGGAGACAGACGTCCCTGCGGCCATCTCAAATTGTCCAAGACGATCCCGCGATTAACATCCAGAGGATTCCACGTTTGTTGAATTTACTGCAATTCTCCCTACTCGATCTCGATATTTCATTTCCTTTGTTTTCTCGTTTTCTTTTCTTTTTCTTTTTTTTTTTTTTNTTTTTTTTACAGTCTGTCCATTATCGAATTGAGAAGAGAAAAAAAGAAAGAAAGAAATAGGACGAGTGAATCGAATATCGATCCATCTCGACGTCATATAATCCGAACGAAATGATGATGAAAAATAACGTTTCGTCTCGAAATCCGCCAGCGAAATTAATACGGCTACTTATATCGAGAAATAATGCCATCTACGTGTACCCTTGGAATATGGAACGGCCATTCCATTTCCAGTCTCGACGATTTCCCCATAAATCCCATTTCACCTCTCTTCCCCCCCCCCTCCCTCCCCTACTCCCGAGAGAAGTAAGAAAATTTCAATCCGAAAATGAATTATCGATCCCGATAAGTTGGACGATTTTCATAGGGGTTGCGGAGGGGGAAGGGCGGTAAGTCGAGCACGGACGTCCGACCGGATGCCTGAGACTTCAAAGTTGACGGCAATTGCCGGCCAACGGCGCTCCCCTCCCCTCGTTCCACCCCCTTAAATATGCCCCGAACCGTCGTCACCCGTGGAATCCTCCTCCCTCCACCCCGAGACGATCGAGGAGGGGGAGGAGGAGGAGGAATTCGACTTTAATGATTCGTCGATTTCGCCGGTTTCTTTCCGATCCGATCCGATCGATTCCAGGAGCTCAGTAGCCTGGAAAACGGAGGGAGGAAGAGAAACCAAGAGCATTCTTGCCTGCTCTCTTGGAAATAGTTCCTGCGTGGAAACTCGCTTCCTTAATAACGCGGCCTAGCCTGCCTTTCCTATTATCCTGAACTCGAGATTTCGATCCTTGGAACGAACGAAGGGGGTTTATTATATTTTTTTTAATTTTATCGGGACGGTAGAGGTTTCATTATTTTTCACGAGGATGCTTCGATTCGAGAACGAGGATGTCCTCGGTTTCGAGGTTCTTCGAGTTTGGAGGAATGAGTGATTGAAGAATGCGAAAGAGTGTTTCTTGCTTGTTTGAGAAACAAGGAATGTAAAAAATGAAAACTCGATATAGCGCATAATGTGGATTGAGGAGAATTATTACATTTACGACGTAATAATAATACGTCACCTGTTTGATCGATATTCTTATCGATCATTTTTCGACCGACGTTTGTACATTACGAATCCGCGATACCGCATACTTGAAAATAAACGATCGATTCGTTCTAAATAATAATCGACGAACGAAGCGCGGGAATATCTGTCGCGTAATCCGTGTAAAAGGGAGTAAAAAATTATTTCCCGGCAAATATTGCCCTTCCATTGCGAATGGAAAGAAAAAAAAAAAAAAACAACGCGTATTTATATTGAAAACCCGTCCGTTTTTTAAAATTGAAAATATTCTTCGTGTCAATGAATGGAACGTAAAATATGAAAATATCCGCGGAAATGACTTTTGTCCCGCGGCCGCAAATCAATTCTATCGAAACAGCGGGATGGAAAATATCGAGAGAGAGGAAGAGAGAGAGAGAGAGAGAGAGAACGAGTTTGTTCGGGGACACTGCCGGTTTTGCAGAGGTAGTCGAAAACGATTACGTCGAGCGTATTCGAATTCCGACCGATTATCGGCAACCGTAGGAGGGAAAATGGCGCGGTGTCGTTTCATCTGGCGCGTCGGTGTGTCGAAATATCGGGTAATAATGAGCTTCCGCATCCTGTGATTGCACCGCGTAACAGGAACCCGATACGCTGTTTTTGGGGGAGGGAAATCGCGACCAGGTTCCCGGCTCGTTTAAAGTGCATCAATTATTCATTGACCGCTACGAGTCGCGTATTTGCAAATCTGTTTTCGGGTTAAATAATGGCACGAATAATATCCACCCGTTTCACGTTATATTACACCCCTTTCCCTGGCCATTTAATTTACCGTTTTACCGATATTTAACGATATTTTAACGAAATCGCCTCTCTCTCTATCTCCTCCTCCTCTCCAATTTTTTCTTTTTTTTTAATTTTTCGATGATTCCGTTGATTGGTTATGCAGTGGTGAACATTAAATAAGAAATATACTGATTTAGCTGAATGGATATATTTTGGTTATACGTGAGTGCACGTGTCGGGCTACAGAACAGCAGCTAAACGATCGCGTATCGAAGACAAACAAAAGGATGCCAGCTATAGAATAGTGACACTGCTAGCAACGTTTAATAATAAAATTATAGATAGAATTTCAGTGAACTTTTATACCCTATAACAGATTCCAAAAAACGTGATTAAAATTGTTCGGATTAAAACTTTTGTTCAATTTTGTTGCGAAGATAGAAGGGAAGAAAGCAGTATCTTTCAACGGAATACGGAGAAAATTTCGAAGATTTTTTTTAAGAATCGTCAAACGTATCTCTCTGAATGATCTTTCCTCGATTCTCTACGAGATCCAAGAATATCGCGAAGAGAGAATCTTAAATCGTTCCCTTATCCCCTCTCCCGCGTGAAGAATTCTCTCAGGTGGAAACGGTGAATCAATAATGAGATTAAACATCAATGCGAAAGGAAATTCCTATTCCTTTCGTATCGTTTTAATAATTCAACGATCTCGCGTGACGCGTACCCGCCGTTTCTCGCCAACAGGAGGCAGGGCGGGGGGGGCCCCGGTTGCATCGCTTGAAATATTCAGGGGATACTAACGGGCCAACCGCTAGTAACTGACCGCTCGAATATTTTTCCGCATCCGTTGTTCCAAAAACGATCGAGGCCAATCCATAAAACGAGCTATTAATGCTCGATAAACACTCGGCGCGAAAATTGAGAAAAGTAAATTCCGCGAGGGCGTGTTCGACAAAAGCTTCGATCGTTCCAGAGAGGGAGGGGGGGGGGGAGTGATTATTATTATTATTATTATTATTATTATAGAACGAAATATTCTCTCGTAAATTGTCTTCGCAGAGTCTCGTCGGAATTTCTTGATCAAGGGACCTCTTAATAATGGCGAAACATTTTAAGAGGGGGACTAGGCGGGACCGAGGCGTTTCATTCAGTAATTGCGAATTACTCGCCGTGAAGTAAACAAGGAGGAATTGTTCAAAGGAAAAGACACCTTGCAAGAGCTATTTATACCATCACCGATACCAGAACCAGAACACTGTTTTCCCTTGGTGAGAATGACAAGGGGATAACGTTTAATTGCATTCTTTATTGTTTCTGTAAACCCGAGATCAAAGATAAATATCCTCCCCCCCCCTCCTTTAGTTATAGTTAAATTTCCTCCTTTATGTTTAATATATAAAACGTGTACGAATATTACGAGTAAATTTTGAATTGCAGAAATTCCGCTCGAATTCTCTCCAACGTTTTCAAAGTTCACCTCGACTAGCGTTATTTCGCCCCTTCTCGAGTTCGCCCCTTATCTCATCGATAGTCGAAGAGAACAATCGAAGAGATGATCATTCTGTTCGCAAAAAAAAATGAAAATAATCAACACGACAACTCCATTATCCCGCTCGATACGTTTCAAAAATAAACACGAGATAAGCTTCTGTATACGACGTCCAAAACTATAACACCGACAATAGCTCCTTTCTTCCCTCCGACGCGAGGCAAAATGCTAAGTAAACCGACTCGTCTACCCTTCCATCTTGTCCTGGTGGTGCAACCGTGGTGCCACGTAGCGTGCATTCGTGAATTTCGCCTACACACACACACACACACACGGAATACACACATACGGAAGCCTCGTAACGGTATTTCCATTTGGCGAGAAACACGGCCGTCTTTCCGCGTTTCTCGCCATCTTTTGTCTCGTGGACGGAGGGAAAGGCGCGACTTTGAGCGCGGCAAACGTATTCTCGAAAAATTGTTTTGACGAGGAAACGTTTGCCGCGTCGAATGGGGACCGTCGGCGGGGAAAAATAAATAAGCAACACGCGACACGCGAGGCGGCTAGGGGACGATGAAAAGGGGGCGGAGAATGTCTTTGGAAAAACGTGACGACTTCGTCGTCGTCGTCTTCGTCGTTGTCGTCGTGAATAAACACACGAAAGTTCTCGTCCCCTGCGAAACACGGGCGCAGCGGATTTGAAGAGCGTTCAAACACAGTGGCGAGCGATTGAAGTTCGACGTATCAGAAAACTTGTTCGTTAGTTTCGACCAAACCCTCCATCCTCTTCCTTCCTTCCATGAATTATTAAAAGGCTGTTGTTCGCCCACCGTAACGATCCACTTGTCAGCCTCGTCCAAACGCTCGCCTCGAGGTTGTAGTTTTGGACAACCCTCTCTGCGTGAGACGGGAATCGATTCATACCCGTATTTATTCCGATTCCTTTCGAATTCGTGTTTCCTCTTCGATTAATGTCGCGCCTCGCACGAACCTCGCCGATGCGCGATGACAAACGAGAGAGACACAGAGGATCGAAAACGAAGGAAAATCGAAAAGGTCGACTCGTTTGAGATGAAATTCGAGGGAGAAATTCCGCATAGTTTAGAAATTCCGATAGATAAATGCGCGAGATGTGCAAAGATCGATGTTAGCCGCGTGATAATTGTTCGCAAGGAGAAACGAACGGAAATCGGAAGAAGCGGATTGTGGAATGGACGCTGTTTACAACGAGCAGTTGATAAAAATTCTTACGAATAAAGATTCTTACGCGTGGATATTTCTAAATAATATATCGTTAAGAAGATTCGTTTTTCCTTTTCCCCTAGTTTTTGTAATTTTTATGGTTACGAAGTGATGTTAACGGATTATATGCGCGACGTATGACCATAAACAATAAATTCAGAGAGAAAAATACAACCTATAAAATCGTTTCGAGTAGCACTTTATCCCGTTACCGTATCCATCGGGGCTCAAAGCTATCCGAAATGTCGAGTCCCTTTGAAATAAATTTTTCGAGGATATTCTTGTTTTTTTTCCCCTCGCGTCAAAACCGCCGGGGTGTGCGCGCTTTTTTTTTTCATTCATTTTTTTTTTTATTTGCAGCCGCGAAACGGACAAACGATTTCCACGAGAGTGGTCGTCTTGAAGCCGCGTACCCGACGGTATTGTTAGTCAGTTCGATGTGCGCTCATAAAAGTGACAAATCGTTTCCACTTACAGTTACTTAACCCCTGCGTGGGATATTTGCTGACCGCTCGAACACTTATCATCTTGTTTTCGAATTCGAGTCCCTTCGACGTGATATTCGATCTCCCTTCGTTATAAATTATACGAGTCACAAAAAAAAAAGAAAGGAGACAATTTTGCGTATCAATTTCTTTCGAGGGGACAAAAAGGATGATGATGATGATCGTCGTCAAATCGAATGTTCGAAGGGAGGATTAATGGAGTGACACGCTTCACGAAGCTGTATGTTATGAATTTTATGACTGGGATAGCAATAATTATAATTTCAAGTTTTACGAGAACATTCCTCCCCTATATTTCCGTTTCGAATAATTCTATATATCCAATGGTATATATATATATATCTTCTACGATATTAAGAGTCATCAGACAATGAGAATTCCGTTTATGGAAGCGAATGAAGTCAAGTCGTTAACTCGCCAAACGAAATTAGACACAACTTGCTACATCGACAACTTCCGTTTCGCTTTCGAGCTTCGACGTAACAACGAGGCTGTCTGCTCGAGTTTTCTTCGACGACCGCCCAACAATTCTCCACCCTTTTTTCACGATTTTTAATCCAGCCGAGTTCGTTGCTCCGTTTAATGCTTCGTTCGTTTCGTCTGCGTTGAAAACCACTAAGGAAGACCTCTGTTTTAAACCCGTCTTCCTAGGAAATTGTGCTACGAGCTAAAAAAAAAAAATTCTATAGGAATGGCTTCCTCTCCATTGTTGAAATCCGGTGAGTCAACTATGAAGATCGATGATAATAATCTTTTTTTGCAAAGATGATTCGAAACATTCGACGATGCACAATATCGATAAAATTCAACACTTTTACTTGGAATAAAAAGCTATGCGCTCTATATTCATTCATTAACGTAATAGGACTGCTTCGTTTCTCTCAGATTCATCCGTATAAATAAACGTCCAGCTTATTGTAATGGAAAGTTCGTTAGCTATAAAGCAGAAAACTTTTTCCAAATATTTCCTGGGAAGCATATTTCGTTTTAATTATTAATTACAGATTCTTGAAAGAATCGATTAGAAGGATTATTGATTATAGTTGAAGATCAATTTAAAATTATAAGCGTTGAATATTTAAAATGATTTAAAGATTTCTAAATATCAATAATTTCGAAACCATGGCAAACCAAAACCACCAACTCATCCTTTTCAAACCCCCATCTATTCATCGTTCCGATTACAAGTCGAAACGTTCGATCGTTTCGCGCCCCATGTTACATAATCGAATGTTATACTCCATCGATTTCTCTCGGCGAAACGGCGGCGAAAACTTGAATTTTCGAGAAGATGGCACATTCCGGCAGAAGAGAAACGCGGCAGCGCAACGGCGCGTGCTGATGGCCTCCTTAATAATCCCGGTATCACTCCTCATTATCTCAGCCGGAGAGAACGGAACCCATTACGTCTCCGGCCAACGAGCTTATATCCTCCACCGCCCACCTTGCCACGCCGTTTGTCTACCTATCTCTCTTTCGAGACAGTTGCAATATCTGCTCGCAACACCACGAGCCTCGTGCATGAAACGACGCCATCTGAATCGACGTCGGCCCAATTACCGAGATAATAGCGCGAATCGGGCAGAAAAGAAAGGAGAAAGAACCACGTCGATGCTTCGAACTCTTCGATCGTTTCTCGATTAAGGGTCGAAGGAATTCGCCCTCTGATTTTTTTTCAACGTTTCGACGATTTTTGTTCGCGAGTGTATCGTTGTCGTTTTAATAGGGGCTCGCTATTCCAACGATTTTCCAGCCCCGAATTTTTCCATCCCCTCGTACGGGGAATATATACCCCGTTGCTGGGGATATATATATATATATATAATGGAAATGCGAAGCGAAATTGGCAATCAAAATTCTTGCGAGTAACGCTTGCTTTCGGCGGTTTTTCGAGAATCGCCACTATGTATCGGTTGGAATTTTTGGAACGAGTTGTTGTGCCACGGGAATAAATGTCTGAATGGATATAGATTCTATTCGCGGAGGACACAAAATGTTCCACCGATTATTTTTTTATATTAAGTTTTTTATAGATATATCGTCAACCTGAGATTCCACCTCGCAAAAACAAATATACGTTTTCAATGGATATTACGTTCAAATGGTTGATTAAAGGCTTGATCGTTTCGCTAATCTCTAACGAGTCGCGTTCAGACCGAGAGCCATCGTCCAATTATCCTACGAATTCTCTCCGTCAATGTCGTCGGATGATTTATCGACGTGAGAATATTTCTTGCTCGAGATCTTCGCGTCACTCGTATAAATATAAAATTTCAATTTTCGTTTATTAGCGAACGGGACATTTCGATCCATCACGATCCATCATCCTTTGATAATGAAATTCGAGGATTAATCCTCGAACGCGAAACTCGAACGGATCCTTGTGCTTATGCACGCAGCCTGTTTTGTCCGTGCAACATCGTTATTTCCATCCCAGAAACACGGGTAATCCGCGTGAATCGTGTATCGCGGGGATTAGGACGTGTTTCGACGAGAGAACGAAATTAACCCAGATGAATCTTCGTATATAATATAAGCCTCGATGACGGGAGAGGATCTTTCCTAGGGTCTCTGTATTTTGATCGTAGCTCTAATCGTGCCATTAGCGATTCTATTTGCTTGTAACTTACAACGGTACCTCGTAAGGATTCGCAGGATTGAATTAATCAGAATGTACACGTACGTACATGCATAAATAAAAGTTATTTTGCGAGCGCAAAAGGGATCGTGTTTCAATTTTATTTTACAATCGACTTCGTGAAAGCAACTTTTCCATTCGTGATAGAAATCTTTCAAGGAAGGAAAAACTCTTATTCGTCCATTTTCATCTCCCCCGTTATCTTGCGTGTAAAATTTCATTTTAATCTCTCGATCGAATCGATAAGATCCGTATTCTTTTTTTACTTAAGAAGAAACGAGCTCTCAAGCTTCTTTTTTAATTGATAATCTTCGCGTTAAAGAGAATGATTTCCCCTTAGCTCGAGAAATCTCTCTAAGAGGAACATTCTCCGTTACATCCACTTTATCTTCGTAGCCTTAAATTGTCGAAGAAAAATGGAAGAATAAGGGAAGGGAGGTGGAGGCACGGAGTTCTCAGAGCCACCTTCCGAACTTCCCATAGAAGGATCCTTCCAAACAACTACTATATCACCAAGGTCGTGATAGCCGAGGAACGAGGGTAAGTCCAGCTTTTCTTTCGCCATTCTTTCCGGCACGGGCTTTTAGCGCGACCTCTTGAAGGAAAACGCTGCCATTTTTAACGCCTCTAATTAATCGTGTCGCAAAAAAAGTTTTGCGAAAAAGAGAAAAAAAAAGGAGAACTGTTCATTCACGTTTCCTTCCTTCTCGTTTTTTTTTCTTCCCTGTCTTGCACCCCTGCAACCAAGACGGACACGTCCAGTGAACGACACGCGAAAAATCAAAAGGATTTCCCTCGAGGACGAAACGAGGTTCAAACGAGATTCGCCGCCATTTCGCCTCTTTAATTTGCGCCCATATTAAGGAAGAATTCTACGTGCACGATCCATCTAACTCGACTCTCTTTCATCCAACCTTTATCCAACAAAGTGTGACGCACTTTTCATCCAGGATAGTTTTAACGAATTAAAATTTTATCCTTTATGATTCCAAAGTGAGAGAGAAAATAAAAGACGCGTGCGAAGAAAGGAGCGAGGCAAGAGAGGAAAAAGAAGATGGGGCGTAGAAAGAAGATAGGGGCGTTCGTTAGCGAAGTTTCCAGGGCACGAAAAAAAGGTTAACTTTTAATCTTTTTCCGGAATTGATCGTCCAATTGTTCTTATAAACGGCCAACTCTCTCTTTTTATATTTCATCCGTGTATACGATCGAAATTACGAATACCGAGCTGTCTCGTCCTTCTTCTATCATTCTAATCTCCTTAATAGTCTCTTCTTATCCCTACGACGATCTTAAAGTCTCTAAAATGGTATCGTCACCTTTAGAATTAATCGACGTTCCCGATTTTCCTTCCGCGCAAAAGATCCTATTCTTAGCTATTCCATTGTAAACAACTTCTGCGATTTCGTGGAAATATCCGCGTTTAACGCGAAACTATTCGTTACGGGTTTTAAAAAACGGATGATTTCTAACTTTTCTCGCCTCTGAGATAATATTACAATATCTTCTTCTTCTTCTTCTTCTTCTTCTCCGTTCCCGCCTTTTTGTCCAAACTCGTGACGGAATCAATAGAATATTTTATAATTAAAATCGCGAACGGTGGATGTAATGAATAAGCGCACGAGACTTTTTTCTTCTTCTTCTTTTTTTTTTTTTTACGGAGAGTTTAAATTTAGCGAGAATTAGCGGCAGAAAGTTAACCGGGTCAACAGTTCGCTCTCTCTCTCTCTCTCTCCCTCTCTCTTTCTGAAATCGTGTTAAAAAATTCATTAACCGAACGCAAGTTTCCTGTCGCGAGTATTTCGGGATCCTAGATCGATTTATTCCAGGCTGGGGACGAGGGCAGGATTGAAAAGGGGACACAAGTATTTTCGGACAACCACCGGTGGAAACATCTGAGAAACTAAATTAATCCGTGAACTTCTCTGACTTTCTTCGGGGTTTATAAATATTTAATTTTCCCCTACCTTGTGCTTCAAGTAGAAACTTCAATGGGGGAGGGGGGCTACTTTTGAATATAAGAAATATAAAACTCGTTGATTAAACTATATAATTATTGTATTGAAATACGAAATTCATTTCAGAGTAATAAGACAGTTTTAAATTGGATGTATAATTGTCCCAGCAATTTTCAATTGGCCATATAACAATTGATATTTCTTCTTTCTTCTTATTCTTTTTTAACATTTTCTTATTTTATACGACGATTTTATCTTAACATTCTTTCGTCTTTTATCTCGATACGACACAACGTTTATACGTTTTTAATTTCATTACGTTTCTTCAATCATTAGTCGATTCCTGGTTTTTCGAAAAAGAGTGTATATATTCAGAATCATCGATTGATATACGATATACGAATACGAATATAATACGAATAAAACTCGTCCCAAGAATCTCGTCGAGAAACGTTTTCATTCAAAATGTACAAGAATATCTCGGTAATGAACGTATTCAACGAACTGAAGACCCACTCGCCAAGATGAAGTTACCCTCGGGATATTCTCCGATGAGAAATGGAATTAAAACACGAATATTTGTTCTCTTTTACGAAAGCGTGCCTCGAATATAAGAGTCCGCGTTTGAAAATGTGTCTATGAGGCTTCGAAGGAATCGAATATTTTTCTCGAGTATTTTCCATTTCCACCCGACATATCCGGATCTCCAATTCTTTCTCTATCCAAATGGCTGGCCGCCACTTCGAAACACTGGTAAGTGGCGATCTCCTGGCGGGAAAAGTGGCAATCGTGGGTGCATTAACCGCATATCTCTGGAAGAAGGCGCTGCCATCGTTCTTTCGAAACTCGTGTTCCGAGCGAATTTTGTGGATCTTTAACGATTGGATCAATGCGAAATCGTGTGATTGAAAATGAAATTTCAAATACAAAGAATTCATCTACGATCTTCATCTTCGAATCCTTTATTCTTTTATTCTCCTCGGTAATTTGTTCGTAAAATTTGTAAAGATGATTTGAAATATTGAGTATAAATTAGAAGCACGTTAGAAGAATCGATTCGAAAACGCAGCCAGTCGAACGAAATCCAATGAGCTCAGGCTGGGCGCGATAAAGGTTCCAATGATTTCGTGGATTCTGGTAATTGGAAGGTACGAGCGATCTTAGAGTGGAAGAAATCAGAAGGAAATCGGCATAAATTAGCTTCGTCGAATCTCACCGTTCCTGGATCCCCCAATAATTGGCTTAGCCATGGAGTTTCGGTTAGACAATAGCGCGAGAGAAAAGCAGAGAGAGAGAGAGAGAGAGAGAGACGGTCGGAGATTCCTCGCTGTGAAACTTTAACGTCGTCGCGAGCTCATTCGCATTCATTGGTTTCCAATTAATTTCCACAAAGCGGTCGAGTTATGAAACCGCTAATTGTGGCCGATTCCAGCTCGATCCCAGATGTTGCGTTACGATCCATCCGTATTCCTTTCCTATCAAAAAAAAAAAAAAAAAAGAAAAGAAAACTTACCCTTTCTTCTCTTCCTCCACTTTGTAATAAAGTAGGTTCGTGAATTCAGTTCGTGGCAGCTGCAGATATCGGGTTTATATCGAGCGAAAAAGTACCAACTTGGAAGATAACTGGATTCGGTGTTGCCGAGTTGTGCTCGACCAAGGGAACTTCTATCGAATATCGAAGAGTTTTTCAAACTCTTGATTCGTAAATAAATGCGTGAATGGTGGTATTATTTCCCTCTTACTGGCGTGCTCCATCGTTGCCTCGAATTTCAACGACCACCTTCCCAATCTTTTCTAGCAGGCTAGCGAGAGAATCTCTACTTTATTTATATCCCGAATTGAAAATGGATCGATGCCAGGATTCGAACGATCTTCTCTCGCACTGCCGAAACTACTGCTATTAAACATAGTATTTCATTCGTACGATAAATTAATACACGATCTATCTATCTTAGGAAGGAAATCTTGGGATGTCACGATATAAACAACATAAACGATAAAGTTTATCCAATAATTTTGAGCAAATCAATTCCTAAACTCCTCCGGTGTTCAACCGGAAAACCAAATCCTCCCTAAACATTGCCACTTCGACCTCCACGATTCTATCCACGGTTCAATTCGATGAGCCACAGGTTAAATCCTTCCTTATACCGAATACCAAGAAACCTCGCAGCTCCAATCTTCTGGCGGGTATGGCTGGCTCATCGTGTTCCACCATCTCGAAATTGTAAACTATCCTATCCTGCATTCATAGATCGATATATTTCCATTCCGGGGAAATACCGTTCCGTTCACCTGTATTTTGCGGGACAGTTACCCCTCCCCCTCCGCAACCAATCCCCCAGGATTAACGGACATTATACCGAGTTTGCAAGTTGATCGAGCGGATCCTCGGGCGGAGGAGGAGGAGGAGGAGGAGGAGGAGGAGAGGAACGTTTCCACGTTCCAGCGTGTTTCGCGCATATTGACCATCAGAAATTGCTACCGCTTTGTTTGAGCAGATGTCGCGGGGATAATACGAATCCTGAGCGTTCCCACTCGCGGTGGCCGAGCATCACAACTGCTCCTTTCCTGCAAACTTACGAGTGTCGAAACGGTTCGAGGCACGGTTTCGCGAAGGAAAGGAGGTCGAGGAGGTCGTCGCGCAACCGAGATCCCTTACTCGATGGAAAAATCAGTTGAATTTTCGAGAACTTTTAATATTGTTTATAGCGGAAGTGACGTTTAAAAATTTTTTTGAAAGCATTGGATTAAACGAAATATCTTTTTGAAAAGGAATTTTTGCGGTTTTAAATTTTTATCGATCGATCGGTTGCCGACAGAGTTAACAATTTCGAAAAAAAAGTTAGTTTAAGTAATTAAAATGCTTGAATAACATTTATTCAAATAGTTATTGTAATTGATTCTCACTCCGTATAACCTCGACAATTATTCGCGATTATTATTATATTTTGAACGATAAATTATTGAACCAACTTGTCGAAGTAAGAACTTTATTCGTAACTTCAACCATTAAGTTTTGCCCATCATTGTCGAGATATAAGGATTCAAAGATCCATAAAGCTTAGGATAGAGTCGAACGTTTGTTCCAAGTTTGGAAAAGATCGATAAGATGAACGAGAGATGAGGTAATGAACGAATTAAAAAGTATTTTCTTTTCTTTGCACGAGGATAACATTACATCCGAAAATCGTGCGAATAAAAAAACTTTTCTTTTAGAAAAGAAAATGTTCTATAATGATATACAGCGACTCGAATTTTTCATAATTTTAATAAGAGTGTAAAAAGGAACGAAAGGAAAGATTAAAAACTTTACTTTTTCTTTCTCTAATAATATCTCGACGGTAAAATCCGATTGGAATAAATAGAAAAGATTGTGTGCGCAAGGCGAAATCCTCGTTAGAATTGGAGCATATTCGCGGTATTAATGTGAAGTGGCGAAGGTGCCGTTTTTAACCCGAGTCAAGTCTCTTTCCGGTTGAAAGACACGTCAAAGTAGAAGCGAGTGTGAATTTAGCGAGAGAGAAACACGTTTGGACGAAACGAGAAGAGTCAACTGGAGGAGACATCTACGAATCTGGAAAATATTTCATCTCTCGTCGTTAATGCCAATCAAATTATTGCGTGCGTAACTATGATAATACGAAGCACGGAAAACATTCAAATGGAAAATCGTATTATTCATATACATATATATATATATTCGATATGTTCCACGAGTAGAAACTCTGGAAAAATTCACAGAATTATAT